AGCGAGGAAGCCGGGGTTTTGGGTTACCTCTCGGCTTCCTCTTGCGGTGCTTGGGGTCCCTCATTTTCCATATGCAGTGTATTTCCTTTAGATTGACCGCCTCGGAAGTCCCTAATATCTGGTCACAGGCTGCACGTTCTTCTCTCCTGAAGCAAGCACGGCTCTGGTGACTTCTGCGACTATCTTGCTGTACCAGCCTTCACAGCTTTTAGACACGATGGGCAGCCTCGCTCGAACCAGTGGAGCTGCTCAGAGAATAAAGCCAAGGCAATGGCAATGCCTCCGCTTTTCCCTGTTCCCGAGCACAGAACCGAGTTGTATCCTGCATTTGCAACTCTTAATCCACCATTCATTTTAGGGGTAGCAGTGCCAGCTTGAACGCCTCTTCCCTTTCAGACAGCAAGGGCTTGGCAAACTTAGTGGTTGCTTTGACTGTTTCGAGGATGGAGTGTCGCGGCTCAGCGGCTCTGTCGTGTAATGCGAGATTGGGCTGGGTCGTCTTGTCCATCTTGTATGCGTGCATGTTCATCTTGTTCCAAACAGGCCGGTTCTGGATTGGCGAGATGCGTTCAATGAAGTTTCCCTGATCAGAATTGCTCGCTTTCATGGGTTTTATTAAGTGATCAAGTATAGGTAAAGACATTGTTTCTGTTTGAGGATATAATTAAATAGAGAACTAAATTCTGCAGGGAAAAGCTGAATTCAGAGAGAAATGAACAGCATGGCAGCCCTGAGCTCTTTCTGTCTGTTCAACATCTGATTATACAAATGTTTCTTCTTTCTGGGGCCTGTCAAACTCCCATTTCACCTTAGCAGAAGGCATTTCAGTGGCACTGGGCTCACACAGCATCCTCCACTGAAGGCTCTTAACACAAATTACAAATGCAACACATGAAACTCCTCAGTGAGCCTCATCTGAGAGAGGAAAAGACAGAGGCAGAGACAGGACGTGCTCAAGGTCACAGAGGAGTTCTCTGGCACAGCTGGGAAAAACCGCCAGAGCCGCGGTGTCCTGGCCTCGGTCCTCACCTGCCCGGCCTTGCCCTTCTGTCCCAAGGTGGCAGCCGGAGCGAAGCCAGCCCTGCCTTCAGGGAGGGCAGGGGAGAGGGCAGGCACCTGTCCTTTCCTTCCTCTTGGTATATCTGGGCCCATATGTCGCTCATTTAGTAAACAATCTCTTTATTAAAAGAGTTTTTCACTGTACAAGGACGCCTGGAGGATGACCCGGTGTTACTGTGCTATAAAGAAGGATGATAAGGAGAACTTGGAGACCAATTGCGATGATCTTTACAGCTCCCCCTGCAAAGAGCTGCCTTCTTTTCTGATGCATGTTAATTTATAAATAGGCCCGGCTCCGCTACTTGGAGAAAGCTTTCATTTCTCCTTGTACTTGACGTATGTGACACTCTGCAGTGGAGAGCAGATGTTTGTACCAGATTCCACTCCCACGGAAATCAGCAGTAGAAGACTCGGAGGCGAGAGGTGAAATAGCACGGGGGTTACCTCCGGTCCTCAGCTTGGAGCTCCTGTTACAGCCAGTCTGAAAGGCCAGGAGACGCCCTTGGACTTAGCAGCGTAGTCTCAAGCGCATGCCTGTGGCTCTGCTGGAGGTGAGCATCCTGTTGTTTCCAGAGTCCAGTTACAGCTAAAGCTGGAAAAAAAACCCCATAACTGTCTGCATAAACAGGAATTTTCCTCAGTTGCAGGAGCCAGCAGAGGACACTGCTTTGTCTGAGGCTCTGAAAGGGCTGAGTGATTTTATTTTTTTGTTCCTTTTGCTGCCTTCTTCCTGCTCCATGACTCTGGTGGCACCCTCAGCAGGAGAACAGTCGCTGTCCCTTCTTTTTTATCCATATCCATCAGAGGATTTTGGTTTCCAGATTGTTTGCTGCTGCTGAAGCTGTGTAGCAATAACACTCCTATATAGCTTTACTTAAGGGAGGGAAGAAACAAAACCACATGACAAATTGGTCCAATTTATCACAGCAACAGAAACCTGCAATTCAGCTAAATCGCCCCCACAGGCCAGCTTAGACGACGTCAATATTTAATGACCTGAGCGTCGCTGCCTTCGCGGCTCCGGCTGCACCCCTGCCCCTCTCACGTCACAGCGTGCCCCCCGCGGGGCATCGCTCCGCCGGCGGGCAGGGCGCCCCCGCGCATCCTCTGGGGTGAGCAGGGTCCATCTTCAGGCTGCCGGGGCAGGGCTGCTTGCTCTCCAAAGCGGCACAGCCCAGACCTGCTGGGCACGACCAAATTCTGCCCCTTTTCCTACCTGGCTGGACCACCTGCGCTGCACGTTTATGCCCGAGTAACAGCTCCCAGCTTTCTGGGCATGCCTGTGGCAAGCAGACAAGCGGGAGCAGGACTGGACCCATCTCAGCTCACGGCCTCTCCTACAGTCTTTTTTTGGGTGATCGTGTAACCCAGACAGTACTGTTCACCTGGTAGCAGGCTGGAGGTGGCTTCTGTTCAGCTGTCTACATCTGTTCCCATGATTCAGGCAGGAGTATTTTATCCCAGAAGGAGCTGCAGTGAAATAAATTGCCAGCAACATGTCCTGCACATGGTGCAGGAGGACCTGAAAAGAGGATGAGCCAAGCTATGCCAAATCCTTCCCACCCGTGAGCAAAGCAAGGCAGCAGGGGAGGTTGGGGATCTCTTTTGCTGGGCCCAGGCTCCAAGCTGGCCACAGCGATGGGCATCCGAGTGCATCTCCCAGCTCTGCCCTGGCATGCTGCAGTGGCTCCTTTCTGGCTTGTTCTGCCTGGGGCAGCAACGGGAACAAGTGACAGGTTCTACAGTTATATATGGCCATAGCCATGTTCCCTCAAGGCTCTCTTGCCTCAGTTTCCCTGGTCTGTAAAACAGAGATGACTGAGATGATCTGGTAACAAGCACCAAGTAAAAAGAGGCATTTTTATTTATCAGGGCAGTGGTGGGGCGGGGGAATTTGCACTGCTGGGCTGGTAATAAATGACCCAGCAACTTGAACTCCTCCAGCAAGACTGCACCTTCCACCAGCCTCTCTGTTCACTTAAAAAATCCATTATGCAGCAAATTGCATATTCCAAAGGGGGAGTTCATTATCCACTCCAATGGCAGTGAGTGGCAGAGGCCATTACCATTACAATAAATGGCTTTTTGGTTAAGATGGCTCTATAATTCACATATTTAACATGGCGGGGGGGGGGGCATCTCTTTACATCAAATACATTAAGCAAAGCACCTTTGTGAACATCCCCCTGCGCTAAAGAGCTGTTATAATGAGGGTGATTAGGAATAAACATAACAGCAGAGGCTGCTGTCTCAAAATAGTGTGGGTCAGTGGCCGCAGGGCAGAGGGGACCTCAGGGCACTGAGGACTTGCGTATTTGTGAGGGAACAGCTGGCTTGCTGCAGTCCATCCAGAGATGCTGGGCCTCTTCCAGTTCCAGAGCTTGGCAGCTGCTAGGGGTAGCTTCCATCCCCTGGAGCGCTCGGTGACTGACCCCCAGCCCCTCTGCTCTGGGGGTTGTAGGGCACCTGTCTCATTATGGCCATGGCCTAATACTAAAAGCAGGGCTGTGCAGAACAACATATAACTCAACAGACACATGCAAGTGCCCTGGCAGATACTTAATGGATTGTTCCACCAGTTAACTCTCCAAGAAAGGAACTGAGAGCCAATTCAGTGCCTTCCAAATCACAGCTCTGTTAAAAAAATTAAAATAGAGCACAGCTCTTCCTCTTGGCAGCTGTCCAGTTATTAATTTCAATGTATCAGCTGCATCTGAATGGGCTTGGGCTTCATCCCACTATTTCTATTTATTTGTTTTCCATTCATCTCCACTAAAATTAAAACTGAAAACCTAGAGAGAATGGAAAACAAACATGCTGAAACAGTATTGCTGCCCACATACAATTGGCCAAAATCACTGCACTTTTTCCTCCTCTGCAGTGAGGTTAAGATCTAATTCTTAAGACTGTCTGGGCCTCTCACCTAAAAAATAGTGCAGGCACCTACAGCACTACCTGCAGCCTTGAGTTCTCCTTGCTTTGTGGGCACATGGGTAAGCAGCAGCCTTTGGCCCTCAACTGTTGGTTTTTACTGTGTACGGGGTCACAGTGACTGCAGAGGCCCGGTGCTGGAGACCTTTCTGGATTAAAAAGCATCTGTGTGGTTTAAGAAGACAGAGCTGGTGGTCCAGATGGTCACACTGAGGCTACAATCCCATATAACTGCTGGGACTGAGCCCATGTTACAATGCACTGCACTGATTGTGGAAAGAATGGCATGCTTTTAAAGGAAAACACATATAATCCAAGAATATTGGCATTTTGTTCCTCCCCTTTCCTCTTTGCCTTGTTGCTATCACGAGGCTGGTGGAGCCTTGCCTGTGCTGACTGGAGTTACCCATTCTACTCCGCTGTACGCACCCAGCCTGCCTAGCGCTTACTTGGCTTCTTACTGGTGTCTTGGTTTGTTCTGAACCCATCTTTATCTCAGAGCACATCACCTGATAAAATGTTTTGCTATAAAAGCCCAGGCTTTTACAATGGTGTGATTCTTTACGCATCCAAGTATGAATAAGAACTGAAAAGCCAAAGGTTACAAATTTACTTTTAAAGTGATACAAATTACAAAATATCATCATTTACAACTACAGTATTTAAATCCTATTTGCATCAGCACAATTAATAGGATCTAACTGTTGACATACAGGAAAAGACTCTTAATAAGTAAAATGCACTAAAATAAGGCTTTGGTCTTTTTCAGTGCTTTGTCTTACAATTCAAGTGTTTTCCTTTTTTAAAAACACACGTAAGTGAATGCATAGTGCAAGGTATGAGTCTGGCTGAGTAAGAAATTCTTCTGCCTGTTACCTAAAAGGATTTCCTTCCACCAACAAATAGAGTTCCCAGTTCTGCGTTTAGGGCATCATCAGGAATGACGTCATCCTCCACAAACTCATCTCCAAGCTTCTTCCACCATGGCCAGCGAGTGTATTTCAGCATAGTGTTGTGGGATTGTCTTGCCTTGGTAGCTACAGGGACTGATCGACTCATGAAGACATCAAGATCTTTTTCTGTGGTCTCTGCTAACCCTGGAGCATCTGTAAGAACAAGGAGAACAGTTTTCTGTATTTTGTTTTTTATGCTGTGGTATTATGAGTATTTCAAACAAAAAAAGAAAGAGCACTACCCTTCCACTTCCACTGTCCTAGGTCACTCCTTTCCCCATGCTGGCATTACAATTTTATGGATGCATGATAAACCTGATTGGAGAAGCGATCCAAAAATCCAAAGCTAACCTGAAAAAATAAATACATAATGGGGAGGGAGAAGAACGGGCGAAAAGCAGGACTACTTCATTCAGGTGCAGTGGTGGCATCCACCAAAATGAGTTCTTGTGAAACTACGACCTAACAGAGAATCTCCTGGTCGCTACTGCCGGATCAGCGCTCCTGGCGCAGGGTGACATCAGTGTAGTGTTTCCACCGCTCTGGCGCAGCAGTGCTGCGTATTCCCTGCCTGGGGGACCCAGCTCAGCGTAAGAGTGTGTTGCTGATTTGCCTGGTCAGGGAGCAACGCGCTGCAGTGACACAGCACGTGACAAACTAAGTAATGGAATTCAGTAACTTGCTGAATTCTGTCCTGCTTGGGTGCTCTCTGGTGGCTGCAGTTTGCTATTCTCACTCTTTCACTCCAGGCTACTTGTCTGGAATTAAGATGGCACAATAGCGAATTCTGTTTCAAATAAAGCCAGGCCAGGGAAAATGAAAATATGACTCGGAATTCATAGCTCAAAGATTTCCTTCTTTATCTGGCAGAGGTGAGAGCGCTTCAACCCGCAGCTTACTTACAACACAAGAAAACGGAACAAAGCAAAACAAATGTAGAGGAAGAGGTTCTGTGAGATCCCCTTCTTAGAAATTTTAATGCCTTTTACTGGGCCACTGCTTTTCTTGTGAACATATCAGAGAGAGACTTCTAGCAGAAGAATAAGCTGCTCCTTGAAAAGCAGGTGTATATACTTCACCTATAGCAACACCTAGGTAATCTCCAACGAAGCCTGAATCTCACAATAAGGCATATGGCAAAGGAAGAAAGATATTTCAGTTCTGAAATGAGGCTTTACAACTGTTCCCTCTAATTTTCTCTCTAAATTAGTTTAATCCAAATGGTAATCAAAACTATGACCAGAGCAGTCACATACTCATTAGCAGCTCCACATCGGTGTTGACCTGAGCCAGTAATGTCTCTCTCCGCTGCGCTGCTCTCTGCTCCAGTCTGCTCCTCAACAGGAACTGTGCCAGCTTTTCCTGGGCCTGCATATGTAATTCTTTACTCATTTCTTCTGACATTTGGGAAGCCTGGAGGAAAATAACAGTTTATTACCATTAGGAGCTGGTTATTTTAAATCTTTTGGGGGCAGAATAATGCCTAAACAAGGAATGCAAATGCTGTTCTTAATCATTAACTTAATAATTTTGCTTCCTCTGCAGCTCTCTCCAAAACTATCCATCATCAAGTATATAAATTTTCCAATTACAGTTTGCTTTGACCCTTTTTATTAGATTAATGGTTAAAATCCCCAATATCCTAGTATCTTACTCTCTAATAAGCAGGGTTAATATACGCATACCTCACATGGATTATCTTGATCAGAATTTATGAAGCTGAATATATTTCATCCCTACAATATTTCATGTTGCATCATTAATGCGAATTATGAAATGACTAAGAAACAGACCGGATGCAATTTGATGTAGTCATCCACCTTCTGCTGCAAAGCTAGTCTCTGCTCATCAGTCAGTCCCTTGGGATTTTTCCAAGGAGAGAGTCTCCTCCTTCTTCGTTTTTCCAAGAATTTACAAGCCTTTGTAAAGAACATATGAGAATATGACAATCACAGACAGGAAGTTTGTCTTCTCGCTTTGTTTGTAATCAATCAGTGAAAGAAAAATGTTTCAGTACTGCATCTGTTAAAGCATAAATTTAGCTATGATGCTAAAAAGACAACATACAACGGTCAGCATGAATACTAAATAGTAAGTAAGAACATTCACAATAAATTAGTGACTCATCTGTAGTGTGGTGAAATTCCAACCTTAGGTTTCAAAGTGGCAGCTCTTATATTTTAGTTACAAGACCGTATCAGGCTTTGTAACCTATGCAAGGTTTAACCCATCTAAGCAACTTGTGGCTCTAGACTATCATCCTCTGAATAATTTTTTAATAAATTATGACTACATCAACAGTAAGAGAATCAACAGAGCTTTTTGAGGCATCGCAATAATCCACTCAGTTCTATCGAACATTAGAACAAAGTATATGTACTTACTGCTCTCTGAATGACGACAGCTGCTTTATGCTCCTTAAGAGATTGCCTCTGTCGATGAAAATTTCTTCTTGCTCTATACCCTCGCCAGAATCTCTGGATAGTTAATGCTGATTTCCCCTCCATTTCCTCCATGTACTTATTTACCTGACCTACAAATGTAACAAAAATCCAGCTAAAAGACTGTGGGTTGGGATCTCTTTAACAATTTGCATTTTTAATCCCCAAATTAGATAGTCCCAAAAAAAAGCTTGGGTGCTATCAGTTAAACACCCCTCTTCATCAAAGGTCCACTAGCTGCGGGCCACACTTGTAGCTGCAATGGAGCTACAAGATGTAGCTGCAGTGGAACACAAGAAAACTGGGTCTCCCTTTCTCCTGCACCATTTTGAAGGCAGCAGATCTTGATCAGTAGTTACTGAGCCCTGGTAGAATTAGCATGTTCTCTGTCAGATAATTGGGTCAGGAGAAGAGACAGTAAGACTACAGTGCAAACAGACATGCAATATTAGGAAATATATTTGGGGAAACTGTTCTGTTTGACCTTCTGATATAGTTTAATATAAATCATACTGGCATGGATGACTTCCAGTAAGGCCAGCTGTCGTTCATGGAAGAGTCTTATGGCCCTCTGTCTCTGAAGTTGCATTTGCAGTTTTAGAGCCTCATCTTCCTTCTGTTTTTTTAAATGCTGCAGCTCCTGTTCCCGTTTAGCTCTGCAATACACAAATACCTTAACAATTAGCTTAAGTTGTACATTTCTTAAAAGCATTTTTCTTTCTCTTTGTGTTAAATGGTCCAGCATAGAGGGAATAAATCCACAAAATAATCTGCCATCCCAGCTGTTGGCTGCAGGACCACACCAAGCAATGAGAATCACCTGCAAGCTAACAAACTACCACACTATCTACAGCCACGAAAAATTCTGAGCCAGTCACTCAATCTGGTATCAAATCAAAGAATACATTTTTAGTTAGGATAAAGTTCTAAGGGCCCTGAAGGGAACGATGCTCCACGTGGGACATTCACAGCCAGCATGAACTAGAACAACATTTTTGATCCATTATCTGGGGAAGAAGTAAAACAACATTAGCCATCTGCTCCAGTATGCACCTTTTCCAGAGTGCATCCATCAGCATGCATGGCACCTGCTTTACATAATATATACTATTATTTTTGTACCAACTGCAAGAGTAGATCAGAATGTTGGCCGTTAAGGCTCACTTCTTAAACTTGGAGGGGTTTTTTTTTCTTCCAGTAAATACAGACTGACACATTTTCCTCCATGAACTTTGTTAACAGAACACTAGGAAAGAATTTTCTTGCAAATTCTTCCTGATCTGTACTAGTTGGTGTAATTTGATGTTAGGATGTTGCCCCGCTGTGCTTGGCATCAGAAAAGCCCCGGCAGATGTTTCACAGATAAGACAACTGAAAACTCTGTAACTGGCCCTGGAGTGTTTAAGCTAATAATAGCCTGTAATCAATTATATATACACTAACATATTAATTAGAGACTAATATATTAATACCAAATATACTGATGTATTGATACTAATAATTACTGAGACCACTTCAATGTGGTCTCAGTGAAGCACGAGGAGCTGTGAGCTAGGACTCCCCCTCCCTTCACTACCTCTTCTCGTCCCAATGGACCTGACCTCATTAGCAGCTTAATGCTTGAGACTTTACAAGTTTACCCCACAATGAGGTAATGATGTGACTCCTCATCTCCTATTGCAGCAAAATCACTTGCCCACTCAGGACCTGAGTACCCCCACTGGGCGCACAGCCAGGAGTTTGGCTCTCCTTTACCATTTTTCCAGGGACAATAAAAGGAGCACCTTAATGACCAGGAAAGAGAACAAACAGAGCACAGGCATAAGGGGTGCCAGGAAGGAGAAAAAAAGGCTGCAGACTACAACTAATGTCCAGCAATCTTGGTATTGCTGCATGCCACATACCTTTAGACTCAAAGTAATATTAAGTTATTTGTGTGTTTCCCATTGCTAGTATAAGTTGAGTTGTATTTTTTCTACCAACCATACTTTCTCCTCAGTCTCCGTAACAGGGTGGGGAACCATGGGATGGAAGCTATTGTGTAAAAGAGATGCTCTGGATTTAAAGATCTGGCCCTAACTGATAAAACAGCCTCCACCACGATCTGAAAGACCATAATCCTTTTATGACAGTAATGCAGACCTGAAGCATGCCCACACATCTACCTACAGAGACAGATCATGATATATGTGATTACATAGAATGGTCTCAAGGAAACTAGAGGTTTTCAGCCCACACATTTCTGCAAATTAGAGCTGTAAATCTCTGCATTTTTAATCCAGGCAGGCACATATTATACTTCTAAGTGGAATGATGTCACAGGATCAAACAAAACTTTTGATGACATTTTCTTGATAAAACTATTAATAATTTTCCCTAGAAATTTTTATCAGCTCCAGTAGGTGGAAAACTACAAGAATGTTTAATGAACTTCTCAGATGTGCATCTGTGAAATGACCAATAGTGCCTGTCAGGTATTTAACTGTTTCTTTGATACTGATTCTTTCCCATGTAGTCTGCAAAATGCATGTTCTTCTTCATTCGCTATTCCTCCTAATGATGACATATTTGTCTGCACGAGACCCACTGTGACAGGGAAATGCCTCTGAACAGAAGCAAAATACACACGGAGTAAGACCCAAGCTTCCTTCAGCAGTTCATGGCAGAGATCAGCCTCCCTCTGATCATCTCTTTATATATATATATAAAAAAAAAGGTTTGATTTTTGACACATGATTAATACAAATTATTGCCATTTTAACAGTTCTATAATTAGCTACATAACAGTGAACTAACTTCAAGGAGAGATTACAGGCTTTAATATTCACTGAGGAGACATTTCTGAAACCACACAGTTTCAGAAGTTTATAACTTGCAGGGTTTAAGATCTTCCACTGCAGCTGCAGGTGAGCCAAGTTTGGAGTTTCAACCTCAGCCGTATTCAACCACACTTGTTCTAAAATAGATCTGTGAATATAACCAAACCCTGACTGTTAGAAATCCAAAAGTCCTCTTGAAAGTTTTTCTAAAGTCATGCTTACAGTATTCCAAACACTATTTTTCAGCAGAAAACACTAACTGCAGATTTGACCTACACAGAAGAAAACCAACACTGGAGCTGTACAGTTACTATATTGTACTCAGTACATTAGGACTGACAGAGCCATGAACACACAACTGTAAGAATATTAAGATTAATACATTTCCATTCCTCTCAATATTAAACACGTTCAAAACTCCATCTAAATGACTTAAGAACTATTTAAGAGGCACGCACTAATGCTTACAGTACTGAAAATATGATGCAAGAAAGTCAGGTCGCTTGTGGATTGATGATAGCCTTGCCACCCTTTCCCTTCTGCTTTACTATGTTATGTCTTAGCCTATCATCCAGGTTTTCTGGGCTATGATTTTGGCTTGAAGGCTTGCAAGGTGCCTGATGAGGGCAGGAATATTGGCTCCAAGGGTATGGTGGAGCAAAAAGCAGTGACAAGGACATCATTCTTGGTGTTTCAGCCAAGTTGGCCCTCAATAGATGCACTGCTTCCCCCTGCAAATCTTCCAGAATTTAATTTAAAGATTACAGCCTAGACAGTCCGATATCTTCTTAATGCCAGTCTAGATGACAAATCATAACCATCTGCTTTCTAACGCCTTGATCATAATGCAATGTGATTTGGCTAACTGATTTTTAAGATCTAGTTTTAACACAGTAGTGCTCAACATGTGCAAAAAAAAGGTTGAAAAAAACTGCTGTGGAGCCTGAATTTGATTTAGATCCCTTAACCTATGTTAAATTCACACTAAATTTCTCAAAAGAGTTAGCCTAACATGTGCTAACATTACTGCTGAAATCCTACTTCAAGCAAGACAAGCATTATTTACATAACTTCATTCTTTCTTCTGTGGCACTCCAAGGCAGAGGATACTATTTCTAAGTCATTGAAGTGACTCTGCTTCTGAGAGTCAAAGATTTAAAATATTAACGAAGAACAAGGTCTTGCAAGCACTCTACTGAGCAAACACTCTGGTCCTTGGTTTCTGTAGCACTCTGGCATGGCAGGTTGGAAACTCCAGGACAGCTCCACATTTAATTTATGGTGGAATTTTGTGTCAAGTTAACCATGAACCAGTTAACTGTTCCACCACCAGTACGTCATCTTGTAGCGCTATTTAGTGCGATTCCATGCTACAGTGTGCCACACTTTTTGGTTTCCATATGCCATAAATTTTTTACACTGAAAACACAGAAAAGCATCAAGAAGGAAGTTTTTTCATGGAGAAGTTTGGCAGCTGGGAAAGGGACAGTTGGAGCTTTTGGCACCAGAAGTGGCAGTTTGTTACTGCTGGAAAAGCACATTGTTTGGATGTTTCTGCTGAAAGAATCTGTAGTGAAACAGCTCATATTGGCATTACATTACCTTTACGTTTCAGAAATAACTGCTGACTGGAAAAAGGCATCTTCAAGATGAAGCAGCTCTTGGTCAGCCCAAACTTATGCCCTGGGACATGGGAACAAATCCTCAGGGAAGCTGTTTCCAGGAAGGACAGGAAGCGAATAGGAATAGCCAGCATAGATTTATCACAGGCAAATCATGTTTGACCTGCCTGGTTGCCTTCTGTGATGAGATGACTGGTTCTGTGGATGAGGGGAGAGCAGCAGATGTCATTCTCCTTGACTTTATCAAGGCTGCCACCACAGTCTCCCATGCAGGGCAGGGCTGACACTCAGAGGAACCTCCACAAACATAGAAAACGGGTCAACAGAAACCACATGAAGTTCAAATGGGCAGTTCTACACCTGGTACAAAATAACCTCATCAGCCAGGACAGGTTGGGCACTGACCACCTGGACAGCAGCTCTAATGAAAAGGACCTGGGGTTCCTGGTGGGTGACAAGTTGAACACGAGCCAGTAGCGTGCCCTTGCAGTAACAAAGGCTAGTTGCATTGCGGGCTGCACTAGCAAGAGCAGAGGCAGCAGGTCAAAGAAGATTATTATTTTGCTTTACTTGGCACTCTTGAGGACACACATGGAATATTGGCCACAGTCTACTGGGCCCCCCAGTAGAAGACAGATATTGACAAACTGAAGGAATAGAGACTGTTCAGACGGGGACAATTAGTGCTATGGAATGTATGATATACAAAGACAGGTGAAGAGATGGGTTTGTCAAGGCTAAAGGAAGGGAAAACTAAGTTCTGTCTTCCACTACCTAAAGGAAGGGAAGACAAAGCCAGAGTCTTAAGAGATGTACAGAAAAAGGACAAGAGGCAGCGGTAAAGAGCTGCAACAAGGGAATTCCCACTGGCTGTAATGAAGGAATTCTTCACAAGGTAAGCCATGCAGCACCAGGACAGGGACCAAGTGAGATATGGGATCTCCATCCTTGAAGACCTCCAAAACTGGAAACAGCCCCAAGCAACCAGATCCCATTTTGAGGCTGGCCCTAGTCAAGCAGGAGATTGGATTAGATGACCTAAATTTTTCCTGTGACTCTGTGACCTGAGAAAAACCAAACACAAACCAAACAAACCTTCTCACTAGAGTCTTCTCTCTAGTGCTTTTTACAATGCCATACTGTTTACCTGAAGCTTCTCTGTAAAGTGGTCACTGCTTGGGGTAGTTTTTTCAGCCTTTTCCTTGTCTGAAATCCCCTCCACATAGCCTGGATTATACAAGCTGCTTCATGCTGCCTCTGAAATTAATAAAGCAGTTGGTAGAATATTTTCCCTGCATATAAAACCACTTTATTACTGCTTGCATATTTGGAACAATCTCAACATTTGGCCAAAAACCATCAGTTTCCAGATGCACAAAAATTCAGTATTTGTAACAGCTTGGGGAATTTAAGGTCCTATAAGATGGCTATTATCATGACACCTGTACTTGCTCCAAAGGCAGCTAATCTGATAATCTGGATCAATGCTCTCTCTGGTAAACAAATGAATCTACAGCACAAATATAAAATATATATTAGCTGCATTAATCAACATTAGAAATTTGTATTTAAAACACCTAAAGCACTTGATATTTCAAATGGTGATTCAATCAAAATAGCTACACTAGAGGGGACAGACAGACAAGTTTGGACAATTAGCAGCAGGAAAAATGTTACATTTGCATTATCATCAGAAGTCACTGAAATGCAACAAACATTAAAAAAAAATCAATTCTATTCTTAAATGGAATTAACCCCCCCCCCCCAACCAAAAACACGCCCTGCTCTGTTGAAGATGAAACCAGGTCTCTACAAACATAACACTGATTTCCTTTAAAGTATTGTCTCTGAGAAACTTGCACGTAAAATTTTGGTAAGAAGTTCATAAAACACACATTGTCTCTTTTATTGGGAACACAGCCCAGAAGGTGTTCTTACTAAACATTTTCTAAACTATATGACTTAATTCTATGTGAATGCCACCTAGAATTCAGAGATCTAAATTTGTAACACTGATGTGAGAGAAGCAAATACAGTTATTTTTGTTTTGTGGTTAGCAAAACTAAATTTTTTTTTCCCCTACAGTTGTATAGAAATCTATGGTGAATCTGCAACAGAAAGTCAATCTCTTGAGTCACAGTCCCATACCTTAATCACTGGACAATTTCTTGATGCCTTCAAAAATGATGGGGGGAAAAAATTTAATAAATAGGAAACCTAAAAATCCATTAATCTAGTGAAAAAATAACACATGCTTTGAAAAGCATCAAAGTGATAGAGTAAATCCATTCTAAACATATGTAAATCGCATGTAACCAGGATTTCACATAAAAAAGTCTCATTAAACTTCAGCACCTGCATTTCTCCTTTTCCATTGGATTGTTCCAAGTACAGCAGGTCCAAGAGTTGATTGAGATCCCTGTCAAATCCTTTGCCAGTCCACTGTTTACTTAAAAGCCCTCTTAATCCTAAGAGACAGAGAAGAAGCATGTGATACCGCTAGGTGAGTTTTTCTTTTCAGGACTTCAAACTAACAATTTTCAAGTCAAAAATCAAATCTGATTCTATGTGCAAAGGAACACTAGAGCTGAACACCATCAGTCATCTTTTGAGTTTCAATGCAGAATATTATCAATGAGTATCTGGTGCTCCAGCCATCACAGAGAAGTATTATACGGTGACTGTAATTTTGTATGTCCAAGTCACTATCCTATTGCATCTACATAACTGGCAGTTAAATTATCAATGTACTTCCAGTGTCTTATTAGTAAGTTGTTGTAAGGTACTAAAAGGACGTAAAGCACCACGCAAGTGCTAGGTTTTATTAGCACTACTTTCATACTTTTTGTAATACAACTTATTTATTTATAACTGGAATTCTTTGATGTCTTATCTGTATAGCATAGTCTAACTTTGAGTACATGTGCATCCAATCCCTGAGCAAAAATAGCTTTTTAGGTTTGCAGTAGCTAAAAAACACACTTGCGCTCCCCCCACAACACACACACGCTCCCTGTGCTGCACACAGGACACAAGCAGACAGTAACACATGCTTTTTAGTTCTGTATCAGACAAATCCCAGAGCTTGAGGGTTCTGCAGGGAGTTGGAGGAAAAAGGAAGGAGGGCAAGAAGTAGACACGTGTTTAGATAGCCTCCTGAAGAACTGCAGATTCAACCAAGGTTTCCATCTTCAAATCACTGTCCATAAGCATACGCATACACTGGGCAACTCCAACACTCATATATACTTACAGGATCTGGATATGGAGCACAAAGTCCATGCAAACAGAAATGGCACCTCTGTTCTATCACACATGCACCATTTTGGAAAGATGATGACGGTTAAATGCTTCAGGAGACAGACAGGTGAGACTCTAAATGGGAGTCAGTGGGTGCCCTAAGGCTGCCTGAGCTCTGCAAAAGCATGTAGCCTGGCTACACAAGGCAGTTCCCTCACAGAAGTCCTGTGGATCTGATGCAACCATTTGCCAGTTTCTGTACAGAGTACACAGCCATAAGCACCTCTCAGCTACTGACAGGGAGTACCTCAAGTGTGCCTCTCAGATGTGTCAACCCATGCAGACAAGAAGACCAGGCCCTCCTGGAAACTCCTGATGTAAAGACTGTGCTAGTCTTGGAGACGCGAGGTTCAGGTGATGTCCTCACCTCCGGCAGGCTGCCTTTACCGACAGAAAGCTTACTCTGAAGTACCTCATACTGGCAACAGCTCTGAGCCACTGTGAAGCCAAGTTACTTCAATGAGATGGCCAGGTGGTGGAAATGCTGTAATGCTTTCTTTGTTGCTGCTGTTCCTCAAACTATCTAAAGGATTCCAAAGCCTGAGTGAAAACTAACATAAGGACTCAAACTTAAAAAAAAAAAATAGTGGAAAGAAGCAATGTTTTTTTTCTTAGCAGAAACAGGAAATGTGTTCAGAAGAGAGATGAAGAGTCTCTAAATGACTGTGGCGTATTGTGATTCTAGAGCAATATAAAGCATAGTCCTTTGATGGAGACTTGCACCTCTTCAGACAAGCCAGCATTCTACAGCTGGGATGTTCAGACCATCACAGCAGCTTCAAAAGAATCTGCAATGTGATACAAGCCTTAGGCATGTTATACTTAATTTCATACCAAAAGGAAGCCCTCCTCTCTCAGTTCTGTAGGCGAAATGGTGGCAAAGCGCCCATCTGGTCCAGAAATTTATCTGGCTGGTACTGCCTAATAAGTAGTCAGCACAAGCGTAAAAAAAAGGGAATTGGACCTTTTTGTCTAGCACACCCACTTCTTACTGTCCTTGTTCCCAAAGGACTGAGGCTGCTCACAAGTAGTTTTGACCATCAGTAACATCCAGAATATAAAAGACCTGGCAAATATCAAAGCCTCTTTCTTAGTCTCCGTGGGCATGACAGAGGTCAAAGGGGTTTCCTGGAGCTCCCTGCTAGGCTAGAGAGAGAAACATTAAATGGGACACCACATTAAATAATGAATAACATAGAGCAAATTATATGCATACTCAGCCTCCTCATCTAAAGGCGTCAAGACAAAATGATAAACTCATTTCATGAATTCTTGGAAAGAGTTCATTCCAATCACTTGGATATCAAACAACAGTCGGCTCCTCAGAAGCAGAACAGCCCCTATCAGATAAGCAGACCTGTAACAGCCAGGGTCAGAAGTTGGCTTTAAGTAAAACTTTCATGCTTCTGGATTAGTGAGCCTTAGCACACTGGCAGATGCCTGACACGCGGCTCTTACTATGGCAGTACAGGCACCCTGCTACTAGGATCTCTCAATATACAACCTGCACAGGAAAAAAGATGTAGAATATCACATAGAAAGAAGTAAAGCCCATCAGATGGGAAGTGACAAACAGCAGCTTTAAGAGTCAAGCTGCCACATGCAGAGTCCTCAATTCACAGAAGAAAATAAATCTAGGAAACAGAAAGAGGTGCGGCACCTTAAACTATAATGAAAATGAACAGAAGAGAAGGAAAAAAAAACCCCAACACAGCACTGCAGTTTCCATCTGTATTGGATAGTTACCGAACCGAGATGGGAAACCTCCATCTTTGTATTTTTACAGTGAATATAAGAGGAGGCTGAGTGATTGGTCCCATGCATGTTTACAAACCTTTGTAGCGAGCTGTGAGTAACTTCACAAGCTGCTTGCAAAACTTTGCCACCAGCAACAGCAGTTTTGTAGCAGCATTTCCTATGACAGGATTGGTGGTGGATGAAAGCTTATAAACAAGTTCATCCAAAACAGAGTGAAGGGTCTCTTCATCAACCTGAAGCAAGACAGAACTTTAAAAAGAA